TTACTGGAAAACGTTAAACCAGATTTGATTGAGTTCATCTGCTGATACAAATAGCAAGTTGACAAAACAAATATACATCGATAGATTTTATGAAAAAATAAACATTCAATCATTCACGATCTATAACTTAACCAAACAAAGGTGTCGATTCTGGCATGATTATTTAAGCTTAAAACTAAATTTTACGTCAATCTCTCGTTTTCATTCTTTATAGAGAATGATGTCGATTCTGGCATGATTCTCTAAAGCTAAACTTAAATTTGACAACATTGGTGTCGATTCTGGCATGATTCTCTAAAGCTAAACTTAAATTTGACAACAGTGTTTCTCTGTCATTTTCATACAGAATGAAAAGAACAGACTGTTGTTAAATTTAATTTTAAGTTTAGAGAATTCTGCCAGAATCGACACCAGTGCATCCCTATCATTCTCTATACAGAATGAAAAGGAGAGGCTGATGTTAAATTTAGTTTTAAGTTTAGAGAATCACGCCAGAATCGACACCAATATCAAGGATACAGCGGTGTCGATTCCGGCATGATTCTTTAAACTTACAGCTAAATTTAACATCAGTCTAGTCAGTGGTGTCAATTCTGGCGTGATTCTCTAAACTTAAAACTAAATTTAACATCAGTCTCTCTTTTTCTTTCTGTATAGAGAATGACAATTTATTTATTTATTTATCTTTAAGAAAGTTTCTACAGCGTTTTTTGTGAAATTTAATACAATAAAATATAGATACAATCTTAAGGCCAATAGGCTAGTTGACCCATTTTGGGAAAAGGTTTTAAATGGTTATTAAATGTTCTATTAGACCGAAAAAATATGTATTGTATTTTTTTAAGACCTAGAAAGCTACAAATCTTTAATTTTAAAATAGGCTTTTCATGGACATACAAAAACGCTGTCGGCCATTTTAGTCTATAGATTGTCTATGCTATGACGTCAACTGTAGTAAACAAAAACTCGTAAGCACGTAGAATATAACTTACCTATCTGAGTTTATAATAAAAAAAACATGATTTCTACTAAGTACCACGAAAAATAAAGTAATTATCATTATTGTATTGTACGAGAATATAAAAACACATCCTCGAAGACTCCAGGAAAGTTGTGGAAGTGCCGAAAGAAATTAACCTACGTAACTTTATTACACTAATTCATATGTTGTATTAGTTTTATGTTTATTGCTACATTGTAATACTAATGCACTGTACTTACATAGATGTCTTGTCGTTTCTTTGCTCCGCAGACCAGAAATCGGGGTTTAGTGCAAAAAAATCACCAACCATCAATGCGTCAATTCTTGGCAGATTTGTGCTTTCTGCTTTCACAAAGCCGGCATCCATAATTAGTTTTGTCAAAAAAAAAAACAGTAAACGGAAACTTTTCTAAAGTGAAAAGTGTTTTAAGATAAATTTAGTCAGACGAAACAATCCACCCACAGTAACACACGAATGACATTTAGTTGTTTACTACAAGAGATGTCACAATCATGGTGGATGTGGCGAACAGCGTTTTTAGTGTTTAAAAAATATAGACTAAAAATATTATTTAAAATGAAATTTCTACAGCAATCTTCTGCTTTTATGAAATGAAATCGATATATTTAGGTTCCTTAGACCAAATACTTTAAGAAATAAACATTTATTTAATACAATTCGACATGAGTCAATTAGCCTATTACAGAAACACATTATGTACATATTAGATACTAACGGCGTTATTATATGTCAGTAATTATTACATTTAATTTAATTTTAAAAATTGTATTAGAAATCATATAATTCACTAACATAAATAATAAAATAAAATTAAGATTGGACAAAACATAACAAAAAAAAAACAAACACTGAATATCCATATAAAAGGGTTTTCGAGAATTTGTCACATGATAACTTTATGAAGTGTGGGTGGGTGGGTGTCCATGCAGCTGCAATGCTATGCCTGGTAACGAGATGGCGGACGCCGCAACCCGGGCACTACATCATTCAAGTACTTCTAGCTTGTAATTGTAATTGTAGGCCTACATGGCGCTGAGAATAAAATCAAAATAAATTAAATTGAAATTGAAACAAATGTCAGGGAAAATAATTTAAGCGGTATTTGGAAATGCATTAGTGCAGTCATTTTTCATGTTATTGAGAATACGAATTGATAATTATAAATAAAAATAAAAATTCAAATAAATTGTATTAATTAATAATAATAAAATAAATAATAACAAAAAGCTTATTTGGGTCTTGCGGTTATAATTTCAAATAATTGTCGTTTTAAAAGCAGCTCTGGACAAAGAGAACAGGTCGATATCAGAGAAGTACTTGTTGTACGTTTTTGGCAACCTTACAGTCATATCATTAAGCCCGTCACAGACGTAGCTATAATATATATTAATATGGATCATAGCAAGACATATTACAACATATTTTCAATATAAATTTTCGAGTGACCGCACACGCAGCTATAATATATATTTCTATGACGTCACCAAAATATGTCGACAGATATATTTTGGCATATTAGTGTATATTTTGGTATATTAATATATATTTTGATATATTAATATATATTTTGATATATTTTTATGATACGGTATGTTTCATTTTTCACCGAATGCCTGCCAAAATATATATTATAGCCGTGCCCCGCGGTTTCACCCGCGTTTTTCTCGTTTCCGTGGAAATACTGAGATAAAATATGCAAGCAAGCGAGCGTGGATTTTCTTAGCAGAGTTATTTTAGAAATGTATTTATTATACTCTTTAAAGATCTTATACTTACAATCATCAACAAATATATTTCGATATGATAATCTTTATTACAGGATTTTATGTTAATAAAAAACTCTATGGCCCATAACTCATTAATAGGTACCAACTCTTAACATCTTACACACGTGATAACTTTTAAACGAAATATCCGATTGAGATGAAACAAAAAGTATTTTACTTCTTCATAAATACTCTTGATAACATAATGCTTAATTTCGATAAATATTAATATTACGATACATATTTAACGTAGTTTTTTTTCTTCAGACGATGTAATAATTATTTTGAACACAAAATCGGTTATTGTGATTAAACCATGATAGCTAGATATATGTTCTCGCAGACTTTTTTGTAGGTCTTAATGGGATCTACAAACCCGTACTACATCATTTTGTTCTATTGTCAATAGTTTTTGCAGCGCACGCAAAAATAGGTTTTCGATTTTACACCTTGTGTTACAAAATAGCTATTTTATTACGGATACCTAATTTTGAAAGAAAAAAATATAGCATATAGCCTTCCTCGATAAATGGAATACCCAACACTGAAAGAATCATTCAAATCGGACCAGTAGTTCCAGAGATTAGCGCGTTCAAACAAACAAACAAACAAACTGCAGCTTTTTAATATTAGTATAGAAGTATAGATAGTACAGCTCCCGTCTGTGGTAGTTTGTATAATATAATATCTCGATATATAAATATATATACGTCTGTGACGGGATATATTTTGGCATATTAGTATAATACGGAATGTTCAACTTCTATTTTTCGTTCCTGACAAGGCAACATGCATATCAAATTCAGCATCGGAATCATCCTCTGAGGAACTTTCAATTAAATCTAAAAGTAGTGCTCTTGTCCAATTCATTTCGGTAACATCGATTATAACGTTATTTCAAAATTAAAACACCCTGTGCTAGAAAATAAGCTTTAAAACCGTGCGCTTGCAAAACCGACCGCAGACCGAGTGAGGGCAAAATATATATTATAGTATAGCTCCCGTCTGTGGTAGTTAGCTATAATATAATATATATTTCGATATATTAATATATATTATAGCTCCGTCTGTGACGGGCTTTAGCCTCGTAATTTGTACGCACAGATGGTACATGAAAAAGTTGCGTGTGGCGTGTTCTTTTTGTAGGAGCCTTTAAGGAAACTATTTTATTTATCAACTCGGTGCAGTCCAGTACTCCAGAACATACATCGAACAAAGTCATCATGTCCCGCATGCGTCGCCTGTCACTAAGAGTAATGAGACCGTACATGCTACATGACTACCCATAACCATTGGATTCATTTTTCACTCCAAAGTTTAGATATTTTACGAATTTCATTTGTATCCGTTCAATGGCGTGTTCGTGTGTTATGTACTGTGGATTCCACACGGTGCTATAGTACTCAAGAGTACTTTGAACATAAGCATAATATAATACTTCCATGCAAGCAGCGTCCTTGAAATCTTTCGTAACTCTGAAAATAAATCCTAAATTTTTATAAGCCATGGTGGTTATATCGTTAAAATGATTGGCGAAGGTTAATTTTGAATCCAAAGTTACCCCTAAATCCCTCACAACATTCACTTGAGTCACTACTTCATTATTAAGTTTGTAATTGCACAGAATAGGATTTTTGCGTCTTGTGAACTTAATATGCACGCATTTTGCCGTGTTAACTGTTATCCTGTTTCTTATGTAATACTCTGAAAGTCGGTCCAGATCTTCTTGCAATTTCAAACAGTCATCGTATGATTTAACTTTCATATAAATTTTTGTATCATCAACGTAGAGCACCCAAGAAAACACTGTTGTCATTTAAGTTTAGATTTAGAGACACGTGCCAGAATCGACACCACTATTGTCAAATTTAAGTTAAGGTTTAGAGAACGCTGCCATAAACGACATGTTGATTTTTCTTTCGACGTTGAAATATGTTAATCATGTCGATTCTGGCATGATTCTCTAAAGCTAAACCTAAATTTGACAACAGTGCATCCTTGTCATTCTCTATGCAGAATGACAAGGAGAGACTGATGTATTTGACACCATCGTGAAACTAAATTCTATCGAAAACTTATAATTAATTTACTACAGACAAACAAATGAAGAATCCCGATTAAGCGGGCAATTATTATATATTTTATTGTACCCAAGATTGTACGCTAATTTCCGCCTACGTCCAGCGCTATTTCTCTCACTCACATCATGTCGACTGGGACGGAGTGGGACCATGGACGTACTTTTAATGTTAAGTGGGTATCGACTATACAGATCTCGATTCTCGACCCGACTCTTTCATAGTGGGACAGAAATCATGCTGCTGTGCCGTTTGCCTCCGCACTATTATCGAACTCAGAAAATCAATACACCGAACACCGTCAAGTCTTTTTAAAATGAGAACGTGACAAAATAATAATTTTCATCGAAGAAAATATTTTATTTAAAAAAAAAGCTGTTGAGATTTGATGCTCATTTTTTATTTATTTACAAAGTGATGAGTATTGTCATAGTTACGGCGTGGTAGAACATTTTGCGCGTTTGAATAACTGCTTTTTGCTGCAAATTATTACTGTTAAAGGTTAGTGAATGCTTTATTGTTTCATATTACTTATTAGTAGTAAATTAATTCACATAAATCATATATTTCTTCGAAAAAAAACTAAATGGACTATCGACCTTCGCCATTGTCTGCATGGTGCATTGCGTTTTCGTTGTATGTACGCGTCTATAAAGGTATAGGTATAAGTTTGATGATACATTAAATTGCATAGAATTCTGGATATGTTTATAAGTTTATTAACTCAATATAACTTCTTTTCAATTTCGACGGCACATAGGTTTGTATTGTCTGCTTTTGTTAGGAAATAAAATTATTATAGCTTGAATTCGTGATCCTTGTATGTACCTACCTACCTCGGTTTTAAATTTTTAACTGATTGTTTAGCTTTGACATATATTAATGAATTAGATTACTATCAAAATATAACAACATCGTTTGTGCTACCTTGATATGTTTATATTATAACAATATATAAACTGTAGTTATATCACAATTACTGATAATGTCTTGTATTCCCAGTAGTACCAGTGGAGTAGTCCCATGATGGGACTTAATACTTGTATTTTTTCCCATAGGTTCCATTAACTGGATGACTGGTAATTTTAATCTCAGAGGTTTTACTGACTGGTTGTTTCTAATCAAACTAGTAGTGAGGATATGATAAAAACAGGGAAAATGTTGTCCAAAACCTTATTTCTGTTAAAAGCAAACTAAAGTGATTGCTTAGTCTGTTTTGACAATCATTGATTGGTTTCAATAAAACTGTTAGTAGTAGGTACCAATGTGTTTCATTTCACAGCATGTAAGTAAATATAAACAAACCCCTTTTTAAAAAGATTTTCAATAAACGCACAAAGCTGGGTAGGCACTATAGGCCAAATTGTTCCTGAACCTCGGGGGCAAAGAACTAGTAGTCCCATCATGGGACTACTCTACTGGCACTATTGAAATGTATGGATAATGGTGCATTCAATATACATTTACTAACATATTTACTCTTGAAACAACTATGCATATTTTCATTAAGTATGTAATTGTTGGTAGAAGTATTGTGGTGTTGAAAAATCTTTGTTTCTATTGTTGCAAAGACTTATATTTATATACCTAGTATTGATTACCTCTGTGTAGGTGCCTACTGTTTTAAGTCAATTACTTTTTCACTGGAATAGATTGGCTATTGTTTGGTGTTGTTATGCAATTTTATATGTACTAAAATTAATGTGTATTAAAATTAATATGTACTGATGTTTATAAATGAAGAATTCTTGTCCAGCAAAAGTATTTTACCACATATTTTAGCTTTACCACACCAAATGGAATAAACCTCTGTGAAATAAGAGATATAATAATCTTCTACAATTTTTTAATAATTAGTTACTTTATCAGTACTTCAGAGGTCAACTAAGGAATTGAAACAGAGTAGGCCTTGGATAGATATTAAAGTTCATTCTAAAAATTTTTTAAGTTTGTCCTTTGGGTAAAAAAGGGGATGAAATATTGTTTGGGTTTTTGAAAATACAAATGTGAAAATGAATAGATAAAATTATAGTTGTTAATAAACTCCTCATTCCAAAAGCGTGAACTAAAGTGAGCCTTCGTTTAAAGCTAATGCTGATTCTTCCTTTTTTTTAGCAAACAATTGTGACAGCATAATTTTACCCAGTTTAATGCAATGTTTTGTTATAAGATGGTAATGGCTTACTGGTACATTTTTTAAATGAGGAGGCAACAAAGGAGTGGAGGCCCCAATCTGGACTGGTGCACAATTTGCATTTTTTTCATTTATTCTGTTATGAGGCCATAGCCTTGCCTGCACTGCCTTAAATCCGTTCTTGAAAAATGTTATAGTAAACCTTTATAAAAGCCATCAACTTCAACAGGTAATCTTGCCTAGAAAATATTATGTAGCCAAAATTTTTAAAATATTCATAAATCATGAAATTTTTGATAAGTTAAATAATTAAATAAATATTTCCAACACACACAAATTAGACAAATTGCACTGTACAGGTGCAGAAGATGGGGTACTTCCCTGGATTTTTAAAATTAATTTTGCGTACTAAATTAATGGTGATAGAGGATTAAAACGGGGGATGAAATTTAGTATGAAACTTTTATTTGGACATAAGTACCTATGAAAATATATGTAGGCTATTATAATAATATTACAATGAAAAATATTTTTTTTTGTAACAGTTTTACCTAGAAAAATATATTTTTTTTAGTTTTGTTAGTACTTATTATTTTCTAGCTGTGCCCCGCTGTGTTACCTGCGGATTATTAGGGATATTTTCCAGCAGTAAAAAGAAGCCTACCCTATACCAAAATTTATTAAAATCGCTCTTAGCCATTTAGATGTGAAGAATTGACAAACATACACACTCACAAACTTTCGCCTTTATAATATTAGTGAGATAACTTCTTTGGCAGTTGTATGGTTGGATTGTCAAACTGGAGAGGAATATGGGATATATAAAATTCTTACTTCTAATTTCATATTTAGGTGTAAATTTTAAGAAAATGAATTACAATGATACTGTATTCTTGTTTCAGGTTCTTGTTGGTTAAGGTCAAGAATTATACATTATACACCAAAATAATTATAAGTTAAAATGGAAGAAATTAACGGGGAGCTTTACGGGGATGGTTTAGTTAGTTTAGGAGATGAAGGGTCTTTGGAATCTACTGATAATGGGAAGCAAGAACAAAATTGTAAAATTTGCGAGTGAGTTCTGCTGTCCTATATATTAAAATATCGTTTTTTGCATCTTTGTTTTCTGTGTACTTAGTCATGATTTACCATTAATCAGATACTGTGAAAATAGCTTTAAAATAAGTCACTTTCTTAAAGAGGCAAGGCCTTCCAGCCCCCTACCACTTAACTGCATTGAAAAACTTATGTATATTTTGTGTCATACCTGTAATAAGAGGCTTAGGTAGTCTTCTACAGGGCTGATTTTTTGGATAAAATGGATTTCAAATATCAGAAACATTAAGTTCATTATGAATGTAGTTAGATATATTGTAGACCCCCAGTTACAATTTTCAGTTTCTACCTATTGAGTTTTAAATTTTTTTGCAGTGAAAAATTGTGCAGTCCTAGAGTATTGTCTTGCCTTCATGTATTCTGTGAAGCTTGCATTGACAAATTGATGGTTAATGAAGCTGGTGATTCTTTGAAATATGATTTAGCTGTGGAGTGTCCTTTGTGCAAACAAGAAACAAAGGTAAATCTTTAAATTATAATTTAATTTAGGTACCTTTAACTTAATGCAAAGTATTCACATTTATTTTAAATATTAGTTTTATTTACTGTAAAAAGAAATATTTTATATTTTTTTCATTCAGTAGGCATGCCAAAATGTTGGCAAATTCTGCAAATAGCTAAAGAGATGAATTTTTCTGTCAGATACTTGGAGGTGGGGCTGCATCACTTCCTTCTGATTATCTCATCACCAATATTCTGGATGTATCGGCTATGGATCAATCTGTAGTTTGCACTTGCTGCAAGAGTAAGGAACCTGCTGTTGCTAGATGCACTGATTGCTCTCATTTCCTCTGCTCTAACTGCAATTCTGCTCATGAGTTCATGCGATGCTTTGAGAACCACCGGGTTGTTCCATTTGATGCTCTGCGGTCCTCTAAGGAGAAAACTGCTGTGCACAAGCCAATTTTTTGCACCCGCCATGTTGGGGAAAGTTTGAAGTTTTATTGCTGTGAGTGTGAAGTCGGTGCCTGCACCGAATGTTTGACTGTAGATCATAAGGTTGGTGAGCACCGCTGTGAGCGGATTGTTGATGCTGAACCCAATCTACGAGCGGAGCTGCGCAACTTCATAGTGGAGGCGAACACCCGGGCCGCAGCAGCTGGAAGTGCTTCTTCCAGGCTGGATGATGCACTAGGTGATTTACAGCGCCAACGCGATGAAGCAGAACATGTTATTAATGAAGCCTTCCATGCTTATAAAGCTGCTTTAGAGAGACGTCGGGAGAAGGCTCTTGAAGAACTAGAACGCCTGCACAAGGAAAGGGAACTAAAGGTTATGGATTTGTTCGATCGCGTCGATAAGACTGTACAACGCATTGATTGCGCTTGTAAATTCGCAGCACGGCTTCTTCGCCGCGGCGATGGCACCGAAATCGTCATGTTAAAGAAAACGGTTGCATCACAATTTACACGCTTGCTGGAGGCAGCACCAGAATTTGATGTCGATTACTCATTGGAATTTGTGACAAAAATGGAAAAGTTTGATGCGATAACCGAAGAAACCTTTGGAATATTCCGTACGGAAGCTACTCGTGCTGAGGAAAGAAAACGTGCGAGCGAATCCTCGGCCATCGTCTCGGTTGCCTCGAATTCGCATTCACCTGCCGTATCTGTGACTAATGCGCCAGTCTTTGACGACTACCCTATGCCCAGCGTTCGTCGCGTCACTGGTGTATCTGGAGTGGGCAATATGGTTGGAGTGCCTGGCGTCGGAGGTGTGCCTTCCATTGGAGTGCCGGGTGTAGGAGCAGTTCCCGGGGTAGGCGCGGTGACAAACACGAGTGTGATTCCAGGTGTAGTCAATGTCAACAGTGTCCCTGGGGTCGGTGGTGTCACTGGCGTCGGTGGAGTACCAGCCCTTCCCTCTATGGTGGAATATAATTTGCAGCAATTAGCAAGCATTGCCGAGAAAGAAGTGCCTCCGCCCCCACACGCTTCACCAGCTCCCTCGTTTACTCTCGCGGAGTTGCTTGCTGGAGATTTGAATTCACCCCAAGCTTACAACAACTTGCAAGCTCTGGCCAAACTTGGACTAAATACTGGCAAGTACAGTTAATATATTAATTAATAAATATCTGTTCATTATAATATTGTTTCCTAATGATAATGAAATTTTCAGAAGTTAACGGTTTTGGTGGGGTTGGTGGCGTTGGTGGGATCGGTGGAGTGGGTCCTCGCGGAGTTTCCCCTGGTAGACCGCTTTTAACTGCTGCTGAAGAAGCTGCGCTGGTTGCGCCACCAGCTCCTCTTGTTCGCGCTACTAAAGCCACTCCCATGCATATTCGATTCAAATTTGGCCAACTTGGAGGTGGTAAAGGACAATTCAATTCTCCCCATGGCTTCTGTTTGGGCAACGATGAAGATATTATCGTTGCAGACACTAATAATCATCGCATCACGGTAACTTGCTTTAAGTCTAAATTTTACAATTTAGATTACGGTGGTTTAATATAAAAATTTCAATGTGTGCGGTTTCTTCGACAGGTGTTCGATAAGTCCGGTAATTACAAATTCAATTTCGGCGTGGCTGGAAAAGAAGAGGGCCAGCTTTGGTATCCGCGCAAAGTGGCCGTAGTTCGCGCCACCGGTAAATTTGTTGTTTGCGACCGTGGAAACGAGAGGTCTCGCATGCAAATATTCACCAAGAATGGACACTTTCTGAAGAAGATTGCTGTGGGTTTCGTAATGATTTTATAATCGAGTTTATAATTTGTGTACAGTTATTGATGTGTTTGTTTGATTTTAGGTTCGGTTTATTGATATTGTTGCTGGCTTGGCAGTGACAGCTGAAGGCCTTATTGTCGCCGTTGACAGCGTTACACCAACTGTATTCATTTTATCAGAGGAAGGTGACCTCATGAGCTGGTTTGATTGTAGCGAGTGCATGAGGGAGCCTTCTGATATCGCTATCAGTGGTATGTATATTTTGCTTACAATAGATCATTGTTTCTAAATACTGGTTTAGTGGGTTCGCCAAAGTAAGACGGAACTATATTGTTAATAATGCACGGTTGACAAAAAAAAAGAATAAAGCTCTGTGTGTATACTTATTGAGTTCATTATTCAACTGAATGTTTTTGCAAATAACTTTAAGCAACATTGTTGAACAATTCTTTCCTCAGATTGCAAGGTATAGGTAGATCTATTAAGATTTGTTTTTCTCATTGGATACTTCTGTAAAAAAATATACATAATAGAAATCATTGTTTTTTTTTCTATTTATAAATCAACAATTAAATAAAAAAATATATTTATTACTAGACTCAGTCTGATTTGTTATATATGTAATATATCGAGATTCTCGTTCGATCCAATTTTGTAAAGATTTTGTATAAACAGACATAATCCACCTTATTCCAAGACGCGTAATAGAGTTATTCTTGGTTTAAACCTAATGCTTTCTTTTAAGTAAGTAATCAAAAATGACAGCATCAGTTTTAGTCCAGGTTCAACTTTACTCGTATTTTTTAATAAGACGAAGTGAGAATAAAAATTCACTAGATCATATGGATCTAGCTAATGACGACAATTTTAACGACCACCGTGGCGGAGTGGTTTGTACGCCGGGTTTCAAGGTGATGCCTACTCGCGAGGTCCTGGGTTCGAATTCCGGTGGGCCAAATGTTAGTATGATGAATACGAGCATTTGTACCTGCAGTCATGGATATTTATATGTATTTCTATATAAAAATATACTTGTATGTATACGTATCAATACATGTATTCTATCCGTTACCTAGTATCCCATAACACAAGCCTTTCAGGGCTAACTTTAGGCTAGGCTAATTGATGTGTTGAAAAAAAATGGATCTACTCAGCTTGAACCTTTGCTAACAGGCAAGGAGTTTTACGTGTGCGACTTCAAAGGCCATTGTGTCGTCGTGTTCGACGACGAAGGCCGATTCCTGCGTCGCATTGGCTGTGAGAATGTGACCAACTTCCCTAACGGAATCGATGTGTCCGACGCTGGCGACGTACTGATCGGGGATTCGCACGGGAACAAATTTCACGTGGCTGTATTCTCCCGGGATGGAGTGTTGGTCACAGAGTTTGAGTGCCCGTATGTTAAGGTGAGGCTCAAGTCAAATTCCTAGCGTTTTTATTTCTAACTTCCCTAACGGCATCGATGTGTCCGACGATGGTGAAGTACTAATCGGGGATTCGCACGGGAACAAGTTTCACGTAACTGTATTCTCCCAAGGCGGAGTGTTTCGAGTGTCCATATGTGAAGGTGAGGTTTTAATTTTTAGCGTTTCTATATTAATCTTCCGATGTGTCCGATGCTGGTGATATAATAATCGGGGACTCGCACGGGAACAAGTTTACGTGGCCGTATTCTCCCAGGACGCATATCCGTATAGTCGATTTGTATAACTATAGGAACAAATTTTAATGATATCCTTTGATATGGCGGTGTATAGTCACATCACGACTATTGTTTTATCTTCTTCTGATACTAACGAAAAAGCTGTTAAATATTGTTATCGAAGGTTATACTTTATTATATAGTACGTATTTCTATTTAAGGTGTCCCGCTGCTGTGGATTGAAGATAACATCCGAAGGTTATATTGTCACTTTGGCTAAGAATAATCATCATGTTCTAGTCCTCAACACTCTTTACATTGTCTGAGGCGTAACTCGATGGCTGTAAGTCTGCATACTACAAGATCTCACATTTATTCCCTATTTTATATTTAATTGCTGTTTTTACAATGCTTAACAATTTTTTGCTAAACCAGTATTTGACTACTTTTTTCGTTGTTTTTGTGTTTAAATTTCATGTTAGTCTGATTTTAACATTCTGTCCATGCGCAGTGAAATTAGTAATCCCAATATTTACTATTTATGCTTAATGTTTTTTGTTTTGTGGCATTTTAGAGAAATATCCTATCACTGCTCGTGGATAGAACTTTTAAGTCATTATTTCCAAAGTACTATATACTTAAATTTATGTATTTTTTTGGTTTGTTCATCTTCATTTTTTATATGGTTGCATTTAGTTCTAGAAACAGAAAATCCAAAGTTTAGTAAGTATAATCATTTTTTTATATGTATATTAATATGTATTATTAACTGTCCAGCCAATTATGAATGGTTTTGTTACATTTGGTTTCAGTGGGTCCTAAAGTTTCTAGTCCTCATTAGTTTGACATGCTCCTAGATTATTAATTAAAATTGTAGTATTTGAATGTGAACAAAAGACATTATATTGAGTCTATATTAATAATACTATATTGGAGTGTGTTAACCTATAAACAATTTCGAATATTTAGGGAGAGAACCACACAGCCAAATTCGATTACGATTGTGTAACCATTGACTGGACTGTTACTTTCACGTCTAAAATTTAGCAGCTGGTATGGTTCCTAGTTCGAGTGAAGTAAAATAATGTCAATTAGGGGATTGCGTGGGTGTGTCGCCTCAAATAATTTTATTAGATTTTTATTTTCATCCCCAATATGTATGTTTTAAAGTGATCGACCATAATTAACATCGGATTTGCTTATTAACTTACAATTACGCACAATTGAGTTTGTTATAAACATTTTTTTTAGACATTGTGACCAAAGGAGGCGACACCAATATTACGTGCCATCTAGTTTAGGTTAATCTCGTATACAATATTATATATTGTCCGTTAAAATATATTTACCATTTACAGAATTCTTGTGTCTATACAAAATGTTTTCATGTACTCTTGTTTTGAGAGCCTATTAAAATATTGAACGGTTTTTTCATGAGTAGGCATTATAATATACAATTAACATTGTTTGGTTCATTATAAATTAACTAGGTGAACCACTAAGCTGTAATATTGGGAAACCACTTAAAATTAACACTGCAATAATTTATAAAATGCCATTTATTGGTGGGTAAAATGTAGAATTTACAATATTTATTTAGCATTTTCTTATATAGCGAATGATGTTTGAACTGACGGAAAAGTCATTTTTAGGAGTTGATGTAACTGTTTTTGTTTTTGTCAAAGATTCTGTAAACATAAAGTTTTTAAATATTACATAACTTCACATATTGGCAGAACTCTGATCTTGACATCTTCTTAGTAAAGGAAGTAGCAGACATATTAACTCTGAAAGGAATCTTCGCCGTATCGGACACGAGCTTGTACCGAGGCGGGGTGATAACGTTAAGATACCGATAAGTGTGCCTTGCAGTAGGGAGTTTCATACAAAGAATACTGAACGGCTTGAATAGATACGGTGACGATCCATTTCCGAGTTGATATGTCTGCTTACGACCTTAAGTATTTCCACAACTTTAATTATGACCAACGCAACAAAATAAACCTCTCCGTTTTCTGACAATAATTTTCACATCATTACGCTATATTGTGAAATTGCTTATATTTGCGCATTTTGTTTTTTTTTATGTTGTCGATATCCGTATACAGTTCGCCAAAGTATATGTATATTTTTGTAACTACCAACATTTATATTCAAAAGGTTTATATTATTCAAAATTAAATAGTTTTTAGAACGTAGAGAAAATTAGGAATTTGCGGTTCACAAAATGCCTCGTTATATATAGATTTTCACTTTACCAGCGGCTTTATCCCCCTTCAGTATTTCTTAAAAGGAGGGAATAGCGACACTTGGCAAGTAGACACTAATAAAAATATGGTAATAATAGTATTATCAATGCACAAGTAATGGTCACATACAATTGCGCTATAATAAGTACATTCTTAAATTACGTAATTTTGCAAATTTACTGTCTTCCAAACTAATTAGGATTTATTGAATTTATCTAATGAGGAAGCATTAAATCTCGGTCTACATTTTGAAATTTCATTATAATAAATATACTGATCAATAGAGAACCTCCTCTTTTTTGAAGTCGGTCAAAGTGGGTTTTGTATCTGTATTTATTATTATCGTTACGAGCCAAACGCAAGCCAACGAAATTCTGACATTTTATTTATTCTATATATTTATATATTAAGAGAAAAAAAACATTATCTAGTGTCCTATATTGTAGATGACCATTATTTTGTTTTGCATTAAAAGTATACTTCGGTACTTAATCAGACCACCTAATAATAAGTGTGATATTTTAATAATCCTTTATTTTTTCTTTTAAAATTGAACCATTTGCTCTCTAATTTTATGTATACATCTTGCTAATCGTTACACATTTAAATGTTAGTATTCCTGGATATAATAACTGTTTAAAATAATATGAGGTCGGTAACTATACACACGTTCAGGTATAAATTAGCGGTTAATAATCGCGAATCTTTGAAAAGTTAAATAGTCTGGCACTTTATTCATATTAATAATTATATTAAAGTGAACTATATTATTATCATTGAATAATATAATTATTGTCATAGTTATTCAGAAGTAATATGTATAACGTTTGTACTTAATTAGTAATAGGTATTTATTTTGTTGTTGGAACAGTTCTACAATATTGGATACATTAGCAACATTTGATGTGATATGAGCAATAATAGAGAGACATAATGAACCAACAATTTAAGACTTAACATGACTCAATATTTTGGGAGACGATGGTGTATCGCGAGTCGTCCGCGTCAGGGTAAGGCGATCTGGGGCTAATGGGAATGTCGGAGCCAGTGATAAGTTGACATTTGTGTCTGAATCCTCTATTAATTAGTGAGTTACTTTTGGGTTTATTTTTCATATTGTTTTTAAGTTATTTGTTTCAGGATTTTTGTCCCGATAGCATTAGGGAATTTTATTTTCTTTATTTTAACTAGGTTTAAAATAACGAGTCTACATACCCTCGCGAATGAGATGGTGTGATTAATACTCTAATTTTGTCTCTTTACTGTTTTATTTGATTATATGTTCTGGGCCTATATTTGAATAGTATTTTGGCCAGTATGTTTAGGCCTTTAGAGTTACGAATTTTTACTGCCAAATTATTTTCTTACGATATTTGTGCATGCACATAGTAATTATTTTATTGTATGATATTTGTAAAAAAATTAGTTACTAATTGTTGCCAATTTTTTGTTTTATTATTAATATTCAGGGTTTTAATATTTGTAATGTTCAATTTTAATTTGTTGTCATTGATCAAAATTATTGTGTGTTAGTGAAGTAAAATTAACCGAAATAGAACTTATTATTATTGCCCCAAAGGGAGCGTTTGACGCTATTAATAACTATTGCTTTAGGGTTGCAAAAATATTAAAAAGTGGTGTGATAAGTTTTGGATAATTTTACAAATTATACTATTTTATGTGTGAATTCCAATATGAATAAATTTCAAGTTAAAATGTCATATTATATAATATGTGTAATTTTTCCAAATATTTACAATGACATTTATAATTCTGTCTCATATTTTAAAAGTATTATTATTATAATTGTTTGTTATCCTACCGTATCCATTGATGACATCTTACCGACAATGTTTCCTTTGTTCTTGCCAGTATCTTATGTAGTGGTTGAAGTAGTTTTTTTTTGTAGTGACTAGGGTTTTCCAATTGGATATACACAACATAACAGTGTCACATGTTTGCCTATATGGTGATGTTGTTTAGAGATGTTTATTAGTGGTTGGTGCGGGCAAAGGCGGATATTCGCCGTGTCTGTTTGGCTGTATATTCTTGCCGTAGAAGTAAGCACATTGTCATGGGATAATGGCAGGTCAAATGGTATCTATTGTCCATTGACATTACTCGATAATAATTGTATCATTAGAGTACATTACAGTAGCCTTTCTCGAAAATCTTAAAGTTACCTATATACACTTAAAGAATTTTTTGGTAAATATATTTCTCTTGAATCTATATTCCCTTATGTATCCAGCAATAAATTACTTCATTAGTTGTGTAGTATCACTGTAAATGGCGCTGAAAATTGCGATTTTCTTGGCATTCAGAAAGTGTTGTGTAGAGGGAGTATGATTGCGTTAGATTGTGAATGTCAAGGAGTTCCGCAGCGTCGGTGCCAGGTATTGTGATGATGTAGGGTTCGCAGCGCACAAGGTGAGCTCTAATGTTACCCTCCCTATTGGAGGTGGGCGTATTGCCTATGTTGTGGCACCAAGCACAGCTAGATGGTTCCGGCGACGTGTTGTGGCATTCAACATATGATTCTCAATATCCAACGGACCGTATCTTTGATTGTGGGTGGGAAAATTGTCAACATTACTATCTCGAAATATTCCATTATCTAGTAAAAGCGTTAAAGACAGCAAGCTCAAACGACTGACACGATTACTTACTTTCTTGACCCCTCCCCCCACCTCATCAGTTAAACCTCCACTGTTTTAAAACAACATAAATAATAATAAGGTTGTGAACTCTTTGCATTGAAATTATAAGCCACATGTGTGCTTGTGCAATAAATATCACAGTTTGGATCTAGGCTTTTAAATTATTATAGATTATATACATTGTTGAGCTGATATAAAAATTTAATATATTATTATACCTTTTAATATTGTTAAAGAATTCTAATTGCATTCCACATTTAGAGTGAACGAATTTGAGATGACCGTTTTCAGTCTACATTATACAAGTTATTTTTTTTTACAATTTTAGGATTATTAGCAGTTGCCAATGTTTTTTTCCTTTAGTCAGTAAAAGTACAAATATTTTAATATACAATTCTTGGTATTTACGTATTGTAGTGATCTTATTTTATAATTGATTCTATAACTGTAAGCATAATTTTTTGCACACGAGCGGCCATTTAGATATTTCTCATCCCATAAATTACTCAGTATATAACAAAACATATCATACTGAATCAATTTTATTTTCATAGAAATTGTCTGCAACTCCCGTATTTATCTCAATGTTTTAGTTTGTATTAAAATGGCTTTTTTGTTTTCAAATTAGATTTAAGTATATTCTAAGTTACACCATTAAGTTTCTTGTCATTTTTATGTTGTTAGGAATATAAAAATTATTGTAAACATTGTGTGAGGGGTGCATGATCCAAATGCATATTTTAATTTTGATCCAAAGATTTCTTTTATTCCTTTGTGGTTATTATTTCTTATGATACGAAAATGACATTTGTGGAGTGTGCATTGGTATTTGATACTAGGGTTAACAAGATTTTTTCTGTAGAGTTGGTGCAGCCGAGCAAATGTCTACTATATTCTTTTAAGAATATATTGCTCAATAATTTAATTCTGTTAAAAGTATTTTAAATATAGTAGATATAGTCCACGTCGATGTGTTTAATAGTGATTGTGGACTCCAGCGACTTGAAAATATATCTAACAGACAATACCCTCCGTAAAGATTTGAAAACATTATTAAAGTTTGTTTGATTAGATGTAGTTGTTTGCCTTCTTGGCAGCCGCAGCCTGGTGGCTGCAGGGGCCAGCAGCATCAACACATGGGAGTAGCACTGGCTCGCTAATCATTATTCTATACTGCTTGCAATTCCCACCATGTTAAAGCTTTATCTGTGTCGGTCCACTTTCTTCTCCACATATCTTTCTCTTATTGTATGATTGACACAATAGTCGCAGTTGGGATAATGTCTTCAGTATACCTTGTGTGGTGGTGTTGACTGAACGAGATGTACATTGTTGCCCCACAGTCAACGAAAATTGTTATGTAATCCATACAGGAGTCTCTGCTGCATTGTGCCTAGATCTTAGAAGTTAATGGTATCAAGGTAGAGTTAATCTCAATATTTTGGCTCTTTGAATATTCCATGATATTATTTTGTTTTTCATGAAAATGTATTTACATTATATACATACATACACTTAGTAATATTATTGTATACATGAATATACACATTGCGTGATTTTTAACTTGATGTTTAATTTTATTATAAAATTAAGATGCCCAACTGGTTATTATCTGTCCACGATTCGGAAGCTGTGGAGGAATTGAGTTACAAAATTAGAGTCATGTTAATAACCAATGTGAAGTATAGTTTCTAGATTTAGTTGTGGACAGGAGTAGTCTTTTTTGGTTTTAACTAGTTGCACATCTTATTTTGACCAAATTCTTTTGCTGCTCACGTGACCTGAGAGTTGTACATTTGGTTTGCACTCATTTAATAGTTTTACGGCGAGTGCAAGTCTTCACGTGACCTGAGCGGTGGTTTCTTATTATTAATTATAAATTTATTATCGTGAACTGTGGCCAGGATAACAACAACACAGAGCAGTGTAACTGAGAGCCTGCCTAAAATATATTTTTGTCATGATTTTATTTAGGTATATACATGTTATTATTCACATATTACAGTTTTCTCAATATTAGCTTGTATTTTAATTAAGAAATAATCATATTTAACATTGCCAGGTGATCAGCAACCTGCACTTTAATATTTTTGGAAACTATTGAACTTAAATTGTACTGACTTTATAAATATATTTACTTCAATAAAGATTTTCCATGCCACTAAACTATACTTTTATTTTACTCTGTTAGATGTTTTATTGCTAAATTGTGTGCAGTGGAGAGTAATTATCAAATAATGTTATGCAGGCTTAGAATACAACTGTATTGAAAGAGATAAACACGTTAAATAGCTAATTAAATGCTTAATGAATAGTACTACATGAAGCCGGATATCGCATTGAAAAGAGAAACCATGTTATTTTTGACGTGACAACGTCTTATAATTTGATGGAGCCGGCTGCACGCACGAAAAAACATGACTCATGCGGCGTTACATCGCTCTTGAGGCGTTCCATTTAAGGCTTGAAGTGCAAGCGAGAGCGCGCAATGAGCAGCGTTCGAAATCTGTCTCTCCTTCTTCAGTGAGCGATGCGTCCGCGTGGACAGCTGCTATACAGTAATACATTAAGGCGTTGAGCAGACGACGGGGCGGGGCGGGCATTTTGTCCGCGAAGCAATAAAGACCGCGTCTGCCCGTCGATGTCTGCGGCTGCCCGCGCCGCGTACACAAAGCACACGACGGGCAGAGGCGGTCAGTTTAGGACGTTCGTTCTAGTGAATAGTCCATCACTAATAAGCGCGTGGCGCGGACTGAGCTGACCGCCCCGCGCCGCCGTCTGCGTTACTGCATATAAACTGGTTTGTATGATCCACGGCGGGCAGCCGCGGACATGCCGCGCCGCCACTGCCCGCCGGGCACCTGCGGCGCGGTCTTTTTGCCCTCTGTGTGCGTGTGAAGTATAGGATTCACTTTGTGCTGTGGTGTCAATTGTTTATAGCAACGACAATAGGCTAGTTGACCCATTTTGGGAAAAGGTTTTAAATGGTTATTAAATGTTCTATTAGACCGAAAAAATATGTATTGTATTTTTTTAAGACCTAGAAAGCAACAAATCTTTAATTTTAAAATAGGCTTTTCATGGACATACAAAAACGCTGTCGGCCATTTTAGTCTATAGATTGTCTATGCTATGACGTCAACTGTAGTAAACAAAAACTCGTAAGCACGTAGAATATAACTTACCTATCTGAGTTTATAATAAAAAAACATGATTTCTACTAAGTACCACGAAAAATAAAGTAATTATCATTATTGTATTGTACGAGAATATAAAAACACATCCTCGAAGACTCCAGGAAAGTTGTGGAAGTGCCGAAAGAAATTAACCTACGTAACTTTATTACACTAATTCATATGTTGTATTAGTTTTATGTTTATTGCTACATTGTAATACTAATGCACTGTACTTACATAGATGTCTTGTCGTTTCTTTGCTCCGCAGACCAGAAATCGGGGTTTAGTGCAAAAAAATCACCAACCATCAATGCGTCAATTCTTGGCAGATTTGTGCTTTCTGCTTTCACAAAGCCGGCATCCATAATTAGTTTTGTCAAAAAAAAAAAACAGTAAACGGAAACTTTTCTAAAGTGAAAAGTGTTTTAAGATAAATTTAGTCAGACGAAAGAATCCACCCACAGTAACACACGAATGACATTTAGTTGTTTACTACAAGAGATGTCACAATCATGGTGGATGTGGCGAACAGCGTTTTTAGTGTTTAAAAAATATAGACTAAAAAATATTATTTAAAATGAAATTTCTACAGCAATCTTCTGCTTTTATGAAATGAAATCGATATATTTAGGTTCCTTAGACCAAATACTTTAAGAAATAAACATTTATTTAATACAATTCGACATGAGTCAATTAGCCTATTGCGGCGATAAAAGTAAGGATTCTTTCGATATTAAATATATCGTCACTTCCATAGTAAACTTACGTATTTGAATTTCATAAAACCTACTACGTCAAAATATCGTATATTAATTTGGTAAGTATCCTTTGGGTGTATAAACATAAAATGCAGATTCAAACAATTAGACTTTTGGAACCGTCATTGAAAAAATTGTGTGACTTTTTCCTGGTGTTAAGTTAGTTAAAAGGGTATTTAACACCAGGGAAAAGTCACACAATTTTATCAATGACGCTTCCAAAAGTCTGATTGTTTGAATCTGCATTTTATGTTTATACATCCAAAGTAAACTTACCAAATTTTAATAAAATAGATATTTTGGCGTAGTAGGTTTTATGAAATTCAAATTCGTAAGTTTACTATGGAAGTGACGATATGTTCAGTGATATATTGGTGCAGATTCTGGCGTGATTCTCTAAACTAAATTTAACATCAGTCTCTCCTTTTGATTCTATAAAGAGAATGACAAGGACAAGACACACACTGTTGTCAAGTTTAGATTTAGATAATCATGCCAGAATTAACACCATTGTCGAATATTCGTGCTTTCAACATTTAAATAAATAGCATCGGTCCGCAAGTGCAGCGATTGTAGGTTATACTATAATTGACAAAACTATAACAATAAGTTAACAGAACTATTTCACGATGAGTAAAAAATCAATTGCTTTAGTACTATTCGATCGAAATAATTATCGAGCGTAGCTATGATTTCAAAAAAAGCACATTCATACTTGTAAAAGCTGTGTGCATTGTAAAAAAACGTTGTCACGTTCACAACTATCGTCAGTAAACCGACTTTACATACAACCGATTTTTTTTTATAGATAGGTCCGAGAAATGACTGACTGACGAGACTCGACGTGCATTGAAAAAAACATGAAAAGAAAGTGGTCAGACCTTCTGATATCAGGTTGTCTGGACCACATTTTTTCACATAGAGACAATGTTTCTTAATTATTTATTTGTAAATATTCAATACCTTAACAAATATTTTTTTCAAACTATGGCGTTCCAGAAATAATTTACCTACGGTTCAATGAAGTTCTTTAGGAAGCAAAACTCAGTGTTTCTCTGTATGTCAAGTAATATGCCAAGTGCCGGCTCGATGCTTCAGATACGTTACAGCGGCGCGCGATCCGCATCATAGGCGATGAGGAGGCGACTAAACACCTCGAGCCTCTTCAATTACGCTGCGACGTGGCGTCACTAAGCGCGTTCTATCGTCTGCACCACGGCGAGTGTTCTGAGGAGTTATTCTCTCTTATTCCACCTTCCTCTTTCTTTAGAAGACCACGCGTTGTCAGTGACAGCGTAGGCCAGCGCGCAGGCGGTGAAACTTGTCACCGTCTAACTGTAACACAATTCTAACGCGTACAAAGAAATGTGACTCATTTCTGTGTCACACTATCCGTAAATGGAATGCTCTGCCCGCTCACGTGTTCGCTCCCTCTTATAACCGGGTTCATTTAAAAGAGGCGTGAAGAAGCAACATGCGGGCTGGAAACATTTTTCTGGGACAACATAAAATTTTAAAAGTATGTAATTGTTTAGGTATTAAAAAGGTATTGAATATTTACAAATATGTAATTAAGATAATTATATTGTCTCTATGTGAAAAAAATGTGGCCCAGACACCTGACGTCAGAATGTCTAACCACTTTCTTTTCATGTTTTTTCAGTGTTTGGCGAGGTACTAGATAATATAATGTAGATATCAAAAACGTATTAAATTTTGATAGTCTCGCTCGTCCGAGCGCAGTGCAGCGCATTTTACATTATGCTAAAGGCAATAGTAAGAACCACAAAGTAGTTATGTTCCTTTTTTCCACGCAATTCATGCAGATATGAAGTGGAGTCTGCTAGAGTCGCTCGGCTCCTTGCCTTGCCACCCGATCGGCTGCCAACTTCCCAGTAGCTTACGCTCAGCTTCCGACTTCTGCGTACGCCGCGCCGGTGACTTTTGTGAAGTCATTATTATATTATGAAACATTTAGAAACTTGTATCCCAAATATAAATTAAGAAATTGTAGCCATTCACATCGAAAATGAAAAGGAAAGTGCTATATATTGAAATGAAAAGGAAAGTGCTGCAAGCAAGAATATATATATATATATATTCTTGCTTGCAGGCTACCTATGTAGATGTACGAATTTTGATTTTTTGTCCTGATAATGGCAAATATCTTATCTCAAACCTTAAAATCTATTTAGACGACGGCACTTTTCAGATCGGCTCCGTTTGTTGACAGGATGCCAGATCTCATGGAACTACTGGAACTAATTTATTTTGTATAAACAGCATGCCAGTTCCATGAAAAAAACTATCCCAGTAGTCCCATAATGTAACTAAGGGGACACAGGGGTGTGTAGGGAATGGGGTCGGCAAAAGGTGAGGATGACTGGACTGAAACGGTACAGTTTTCTTCCGCTCTAATATTGTCGCGGCTGGACTCCACTTAACATATATAAATGGAGGCCATGTGATGGGAAGCTCCAGGTAGGCTTATGTGCAAGACGGGAATAACTCCTCCGCCACGTGCTGTTTTACGTGCATGGGTAGGGTCATACGGGCTTGCGCTGCCCCAATAAGGACGGTAAAAGCAGCTTATGCTTCAAATGTGCAACAGGGGGTCACAAGGCGGCGCGAATTATACTGCCACGCTTTATGCGAGGAGTCGGGCCGGCCGAACCTGGATTGCGACATGATACTTCTTATCCCGAAAAAATATGAGGTTCCCGTGGGATTCTCAAAAAACTAGTTAACGCGATGTCGCACACGGCCGCTAATAATTCAATAAACATGTTGCTATTGCTTTTACACAAAACGAATCATATTGCAAAGCGAAAATAATTCGGCTTTAAGCTGCGAGAGAATGTCAGGTAACTTTAATGTGCGCCTGGCACAAATGTTCGAATAGTTAAAATTTCTTAATGTACCTCCCAGGATGTTTGTTCATATGACATCAAAAGACAAAGAAAACAAAATAAGTAGAAAATATAATATATTCATATCTATAGATATAACATGATTTCTTAATTATAATTCACATTCTTAGTTTGTTGCGCTACAGTTTATAATATAATGGAATAAGATTTATAACATTTCGAATAAATTTGCATTTTGTTAGCTTTTAGCGTAAACACATTCGCCTGCTATCCAAGTGGATTGAACCTTGAGGGTCTCCAAATTTAAGAAGACTAAGTCTGCGTCGTATCCATAATTCAATTTACCCTTTCTGTCATCAATACCCAATGCTTCAGCTGGATGCAGTGACGCCACTTCTAAAGCATATTCCAACGAACAATCTGTAATAGCAGAATACATAATGGAAATTTGAATAGCATTACTGCATATTGGTTTACATTTAACAGTAGGGGATGAAGTTAAGTGTATAAATACTATTAGTATTGTAAAAGAAACCGATTACGCTTCCTTCTTATTTTTTAATAAGTATTGTAATAAATTCTTTATTTCATCATCATCAGCCTATTAATTTCCCCACTGCTGGGGCACAGGCCTTCCTTATGGATGGTATAGGGAGATTGGGCCATGTTCCACCAAGCGGGCCCGATGCGGATTGGTGGGTGCTGACAACTGCAGATGCAGCCGAGACCAACAGCTTAACAACGTGCCTGCCGAAGCACGGAGGAGCTCGAGATAGTAAATTTTTGTTTACCCATCCAATGACCGACCACTGCGAAAGTTGCTTAACTTCGACGATCGCAGCCGAAGGCGCTAACCACGTGCGCCGTCGAGCTTTCCTCTCCGCTCCTCCATCTTTTATTTATTCGTTACTAATGAAATGCTTAAGTTTCGTTTTAAATGTATAGAAGATATTCATGCTTTGATTTTATCCGGTAATTCATTGTAGAATTCTACACCCCATATATAACACTCCTTCTGCCGTAGGCCTTAGTTCTGACTATAGGCACACAGAGTTTATTTTTTCTTGGATTTATAGTAATATTTGTGTAAATTGAGCTACTTATGATTATCTTTATTAAAATAACGCAGCACAGGCTCTAATATCGCTTTTTGACACAGTTCCGTGTCGCCTTTTTGTTCTGGGAAATGCCTTACGCATCCTTCAACCACCGGGGGAGCTAGAAGAAGGTATGTGGGACTCCTCTATCTAATTCCCTGAACGTGGCCACCAATAACCAGAAAATATCTACTCCTGCACAGGTCACGCATTTTGACGAGCCGTCCCCTCAATGCGTGTCGGGAGTGCGAAAGTGTTCGTGGCACCCGATTTCCAATTAGCCATGCACCCGCCACTGCAGTTCAATGTCGCCTACTCGTGAGTTCCCCGGTTCGAATCCCAGTGAGAATTGATTGATGATTTAGTATGATGAATACGAGAATTTGTAGCAAATATATTTCTGATTTTGCGTTTTTGTAATAATAACTTTGCCAAAAGTCAAAACTAGTAAACCCTATCGATACACGATTCTTACTTGTAACTTAGCAAAATTGACCAGGTGAGGTGAAATAATTTGCAGCTCTTCATATATAAAAAAATAACTATAGAAATCTATAAATTTACCTATAGATTTCTTAAAGGTGAGCACACAACCGTCTAGTGCAGTGGTACTGCCACAAAGTGTATTTGTCCCAGTAACATAAGCCCGACCATCTTGTACGGTGATGGCCTGTGGTCCTATACGGTACTGTCCGTCTCGCAAGCCTTGGGCCGCAATCGCGTCACTCACTAAAATCAATCCTAGAATACGAGAAAAATTATATACAAAAACTGTCTTGCTCCCGAAAAGGCAATGGTTTCAACAACATGTTCCATATAAATTTCCATGGTCACCAATTTATTTATTCATTTATGGTCCCACAATTTAACAATTTCATTTGTGGAAAGTGTTTTATTTATGCCGGATAAGACTAAGTAAAGACACTTTCAAAAGTTAATAGTATCATTTTAATTATTAGTATTTCACCTTTAGGATTTGTTCTGCATGCTATTCTAAGTGCTGCTGGATGTGTGTGAATACCATCAGATATAATGCCATAGTAGACTTGTCCCTTAGTGGTTGATGCCAAAAGGCCTACCAAACCAGGATCACGGTGATGGAACTGAGAAGAAGTGTTAAAATTGTTTACTGAACTGGCATTTTTAATACTGAATTGAAAGACAATAATACAGAAGAACTTATCGCACAAGCTATTTAGCGATAAGTTGGCCAAGTCTGTGATTTTAGAGGTTAAAAGAGCTTTTGCAAAGGCCTGTGTTCAGATAAGTGATCAAAATTATATTGATAGGTTATTAGGTGACATGATTATGGCAATAAGGTAATGAATAAATTATTGCAATTTTATTTATTTTGTATGTTAATAAGTTTATGAAATAGTTTTAATTAAAAGAAAATTTAACTAGAAAAAATCCACACGGTCCCGGACCTGGCAGGACCTGGAGAGACTGGAATTTTTCTACAAAATATTTCTTTAGATTTAAACATCTAGCAGTTAAATGCTTAAAAAAATGTTCCTTATAAAACAGTAACACTTACAGGGAGCATAGCATTGAATAAATGCGTGATTAAGTTAGCTCCATTCCTAACAGCTTCTTCACTTTCAGCAAGACTGGCTGTGGAGTGGCCTAGGGCAACTTTGATTCCCATGTTTGTCAATCCTCTGATAGCTTCTGTACCTCCAGGTAATTCAGGGGCTAAGGTAACAAGCACCACATTGTCCAGTGAGCCATAGACTTCTTTAATTGATTCTATACCCTGTAATGAAGATATAAGCATATAAGTAGCTTTTTATTTAAAGGTAGATAGGTTAGGACTCTGTAGCATTTGTCTGATAAAAAAAAACAATTACTGTTTATAATAACAAACATAGTAGTCTCTGATTCTGTATTAGATATATTAATTGTATAGCGGAAATCAAGGAATGCCCTGAAGTATTGAGATACAGGTGTCACAAGTAATTTTTTTAAAAATCAGTATATTGTTTTTTGAAAAGTACTTAAAATAACAAAACTAGCAAAGAACTTAAAGCTTAACTATCACAGATATATGTTGGGTATTATGTGTTTCTGTGTCTGTTTCTGTTATGTCTTTGAAGATGATTTTTGCAATGCTTTAGTTACCTGGAAATGCAGACTAGTTAAATAGCAGCTTACTTTATTATTGCAACTAAAAAGGGAATTTACTTTATACTTTTAAGTTCTGATATTATAAAAAAGTATTTTAACTGGATTATCTAACCAAGTAAGAGATAAAAAGACATCCTGATCAGGAATCTACTATTTAGCATGTATACCCAGTAGTGCCAGTGAAGTAGTCCCTTGATGGGACTTCTGGTATTATTTTCCCAGAGGTTCCATTAATGAGACTACTGAGTCTCATTAATGGAACCTCTGGAATCATTACTTAAGTAATTATAATCCCAGCTGTTCCACTGACTGGATTTCTACCGTGTTTACTGAAAAAAGCAGACAAACTAAATTCATAATTGCTTACTATAAGTCTATAGTTAATGTCATGACAATAATTGATTTGTTACAATAAAACTGTTAGTAGTAGGGATGTGTTTTATTTCAGTCTGTAAGTAGATTACCAGTTTTTAAGAATGTTCAAAAAACAAACAAAGCTAGATAAGGGCAAAGTGCTCCTGAATCTCTAGAAACAAATATTTAAATACTGGTGCTACTGGGAAATGTATTCCCAGTAGCACCAGTATTTACAATATTTATTTCAGCTATTTAGTTAGAATAGTTTAGATTTCTTATTAACTAGTTTCTAAATTTATATCATAAACACTATAAATTATTATGAAATGTTTTATAGGTCTCATAGTCCCCTAATATACTTTTTATTATTAAATAGTGAAGGATTGATTTAGTTTACTTATTTCAAGTTAAGCTGAGGCTATTGATTTATGATATTAAATGGCATCATTATTCTTTAGTACAGAACAAACATATTATCAGTACTTAAGTTCAATAACCTCATAATAAACAAGTCTTTACAACAACTGAATGTAGGACAGTGATAAAGTGGTTGGTAATGTATTGCAAAATATACATGATTATTTGTGTGATTATTGTCTATCAATTGTTCATAAAATAAGAATAATACATATGAAGTCACATGCATTGGTATGAATATTATTACCAGAGGAGATGTCATATTAAGTTAAGTTTCACCTTATCTGGATTTCGAATATATTCACCAAGATGGGCTCCTTTCTTGGCTAAACTGATGAAAGGACCTTCGAGGTGCACACCAAGAACAGTAGCTCCATGTTTACCTCCTTGTGATTTTTTTATCCTTGGCAATATTTTAGCATATTTCTCTTTACATGATGTTATCATTGTTGGGCAAAATGATGTGACTCCATGAGCTAGTAGTTCCTTGGCAACAATTCCTATTCCATTTTCTACATTCTCACAGTCATAAGAGAAATCAATTCCACATCCACCTGAAAAAACACAAACCAAAAATGATTGGGTCTGCAGTTAGGTGCTATATATTTTCATATTAATTGGTATAAATACACATACATACTCCACGTCCCACATGTACAGACTTATATTATTTTGTATATTAAAGACAATAATTTGAACTTAGTCATATTGATTGAAAAGTTGGAATAATAAATTCCACTTCAGTGCCAATTTCTTCTTAAACTTTTTGTTTTCGTACGTACCGTTAATTTGTATGTCAATGAACCCTGGTGCAATCAATGCGTTTTTGCAGTCGATGTTTCGGCATGGTTCCAATTGCTCCACATAAAAAATTTGTTCGGGATTTTCGATTTTACCATCGCGCAACCAAAGATCTTCCTTGATTATTTTGCTGTCGCGCAAAATGTAACAATTATAAAATCTTACAAGCTCACCACGTTTACTCATTTTTTAACCAAAAGTAAAACTAAGCGCGACAAAAGATAGTTAAGTTATGAGTATTCATCGTAACTAAAACAAGTTCCTTGTCCTTCTACTAAAAAAGTAATAAAACTTTGTTTTGCAATCGGTATGTCAAAACTGACATTGACAGATAATTGACAACAGTTTTTAAAATCTCCCAATAATTGGAAAGCATTGGATTTTGTCCAAACAGCTGAAACACAACTAGACTTTGTCCACCGCGCCTGTCACCGGGACGTCAACGAGACCGAGATTATTTCTGTATGAAATCCAGATGACGTGCCGGCTTGCGGTGGACAAGCCAAGCGTCTAATAGAAAATGTATGAGTCGCTACTTCGGCGCTATCATCTTGCTGTCGGTGACGAGTGACGGGGGCGGTGGACAAACGCCCTACGAGATGAATGAAGGATGGAGGCCTGGACCACGGCGGGACCAAATATGAGCAAATTAAATAAAAGAGGAAACCAAGGAAATTACTGTGTTTTAAATAATTATATTTCTTTTACACCGGTGACTTTTCTTAGCTGGGGTACTTGTGTGTTCATTAAGTAAGTTTGGTTATAATGCAATAGTAATGGTTCCATGTAGCTGATCTGATGATGGAGCTGGAAGGCGGCCATAGGAACTCTGTAATGAAATGTCGCAAAACCTTCAAGTTTGGACTCGTTTGATTCGTCTTGATGAGAACTTTATCGTTAGATGGTATCCAGGGCCTCATGATGGAGCTGGAAAGTGGTCATAACAGCTCCGTTATAAAATGACATAACGCCATCGAGTTTGGGCTCGCATGATTCGTCTTGACGAGTAATTTGTCTCTAGATGGTATCCAGGGTCTGATGATGGATCTGGAGGGTGGCCATTGGCAGTCCGTATTAATACAACACAATCATATCGAGATTGAGGTCTTTTGATTCGTCTTGACGAGTACTTTGATCCTATATGGTACAACGGTCTGATGATGAAGTTGGAAGGTGGCCATAGGATCCCCGAAATAAAACTACATAACCGCATCGTTTAATTATTCTTGATGAGTACTTTGGTTCTGCATAATATCTATAAGCAACCCCATTTGGATTAGACCTCTGGTCCGGTGGGATGGATCGTTTGTCATAAGGTGTAGGAATATTATAGTTAAAAAGAAGCTACTACAAAAAGAAAACGTCGTTTTGAGAAGGTGAAATTTCGAATCATAAAAAATTGCGTGTAGCGTACTGAGAAAGCGCGGGCGGGTGGCATAGACTAGTGTGGACTGGCCGCCTGCCCGGTGCGTAATGAAGAACTCTCAAACAAAGTCTCAACTATTTAACGATAGGGTAAATCTAATTTAAAATATAATATTTTAGTTAACATATATTTTTTATGGATATTTTTACTAGGTACCTATCTAGTGTCACGTAAACGTAATTTAAACTGAAATAAAAAGATAAATATTCAAAAACTTTTCATTATATACGTTTTTTTTGTTATTTCCCGCTTTAGTCGAAAGTATCCCGCTTTTTTCACTCAAAAAGTTTCTAAATCCCGACTTGGCAAAAAAAAATCTGGCAACGCTGGTCTGTGTTAATAATAAGTAAATTTGAATGAAAAAAGGTTATTTTATAATTAAAATGGAAAAAGGTTGAATGAATGATGTTTTTAATTGTTCTTCAATGAAAAATATCTCGTTTCTTAGGTTTTCACGCACATCACTCATTAAATAAAACTAGTTTTTTACGGGTTAATGCACGAAACTTTATTTATTCATTGACGTTTCGTAGCCTTTACAGGCTACGTCGTCGGAATCAAATTTCTATTTAATTTTGTCGAGCTACCTTCGAAAGACTTTTATTGAGCGTTCGGTTACTTCTTTGTTCAATTTTTAAAGTTTTATTGTCTATGTATGAATTTATTACATAATTTAGTTAATAAAGTATTTTATTTAAAATTCTTTTTGTAATTTTGAGTTTATTTATTTGACCCTAACTACCGTAAACTACCACCGGTTCCAAAATTGGGAGACCTTCCTGAGAAGAACCGACGAAACAAACTCAAGAGAGGCTTTCTATCTCCTTATTAAATAAAACTAGTTTTTACGGGTTAATGCACGAAACTTTATTTATTTATTGACGTTTCGCAGCCTTTTCAGGTCTGCATCGTCAGAATAATGATTTTTTTATTTAAAATTGTCGAGCTACCTTCGAAAGACTTATATTGAGCGTTCGGTTATTTCATTGGAAGATTTTTAAAATTTTATTGTCTATGTATGAATTTATTATTTAATTTACTTAATAAAGTATTTTATTTAAAATTCTTGTTTGTAATTTTGAGTTTATTTATTTGACCCTAACTACCGTAAACTACCACCGGTTCCAAAATTGGGAGACCTTCCTGAGAAGAACCGGCGAAACAAACTCAAGAGAGGCTTTCTATCTCCTTCTTATGTTAAATTATGCAAACAAAAAGAACTAATAGTATCTGATGGTCTTGCAGTGTGTGCTCGGGGTTGGGATTTTATCTCCTGTATAATAGGTTCCCAAGCTGGTGGTATATACCAACCATCTTCCCTATTGAAATTTGGATATTTTTTAATCTCAATAGCCTCGCGCATCATTCGAGGAACGAACCGCCGCTCAGCTGCAAGGATCTGTGGTCTATCAAATCTAATGTAGTGGTTTGGTCCCCCTAATGCATGTTCACACACTGCAGATTTATTTTCGCGCCTATGTTTCATATCTGCGATATGTTCTTTTACCCGAGTCCCTATACTCCTCTTTGTTTGCCCGATGTAGGAGAGCCCACAGTCTCATTCAAGTTTGTAGACACCAGCAACTTGTATATGGCACTTGACCGGTCGTAGAAACTGGTTGATCTTCTTTGGCGGCTTGAGGTAAGTATTGATTGAAGCCTGTAAAGGCAACGAAACGTCAATAAATAAATAAAGTTTCGTGCATTAACCCCTAAAAAACTAGTTTTATTTGAACAATATCTCTTTTGTGACCGCTTCTGGCTCTGCCTCTGACCCCGACTCTGCCTCCGACTCCAGTTCTGACTTCGATAAATCAAATTTTAAAACTCCGACTCCGACTTCGGTTCCGATAAATTTACCTCCGTTACATCCCTGCAAATTACTATGGAAAGCGAACAAGGCGCTGGCTCACACCCACCTTATATAATAAACTTCCAAAAGAAATCCAAACAGAAGCAGATCATTTTCATAGAAATAATTTTAAAAAATATCCTACATAGACATTATTTATGACTGCCACCGTGGGGATGTGGTGTGCTGTTTTTATGTTTATATCTACAAAAGTATACTTGTCTTTGTGTCCTGCAGTAGCAAAGCCTCCTTAGAACACGATTCCCGGCTTACCTTGCCAGATTCTAATATATTTAAATTCAAGCACAAGCGACCATTGACGTATACGTTAGTGCAAGCGACTTTACACAAGGGCGGATCCAGCTTTGGCGCCAGGGGGGGGTCATATAGCTGTGGTCAAGTCGCAGTGGGTACAGATTGTGAAGCGGGTACAGATGGATCCAGCCCAGGGGGGGGTCATGACCCCCATGACCCCCCCTCTGGATCAGCCCTTGTAATTACATTGCACGCTTTGTAAAAATATTCTTTAATATGCTGGATACAAAATACGCAATGTATTTGAAATAGCGCAAACGGACACAGATCCGCCCCGCGGTAGTAGGCTGGATAAACCACAAATAATATTGGGAATTCAAATAAATAAAATGTAAGCACTTCACGCACACATACACATTACTACCACATGACACCACTCGTCGATATAACAGTGATATAACCCGATCTTAGATAGCCTGCAATTTTTATTTGTCATGTGTTAAGGTTCTGTTTCGCTTGAAAAGTTTTCGGCCAATCCCAGACACCTGGCGCTCGGCTCTGTTGACCTGAGGTAGTGAGGTCTTATTTCGCGGGCATTCGCATGTACGGATTCGAATGCTAATTTATCTATTGTGATAAGTGATTAGCTTGATTGTGGTATATATGTAATTTAGCAAAATCGAAAGTAGTGAAACTTTACTTGCCAAGTGCTGTATATAGTGTTTGTTTTATTTCACCGTAAAGGTTTGCCGTCCCGTAGGAATGGTGGCGTTAGTACAAATAGATTGTTGTCCCACAGATTTCCTATTAAATGAGTAAACTTCATTCTCAAAATATTCTTTCGAAAACAAAATGTAGCCACGGCCTTTGGCTCTGTCTACCTCATAAATCCCTTACTGCCGTGATACTTTGTATGTATGTAGAATAGATATAAATTTGCAGTTATTGTGCTGGAATTTATTTGTGATGATGATTCTGGCAAGTTAATTTTCACTTATTTTGGTTATTTGTTTTTGCTATATATTTATGATCTGCGTGTGAGTGACGTGTGCTTTAAAGGTCTTTTTAAAGCCATTTTAATCATACTCGACATGCACTGTTCATATAATACCAGTGACGTCATGTATGGTGAAGGTGGTGAACACTAACAACTGTACAGCAAGCATGTTCTGTCTCATGATAAAACTGCATACAACGCAACGCAAACACCATACCTATCATTTCCTTGTAGTTTTGGGAAAGGTGTACTAACCATAGAGGTATAAGAATAGAGTGGCCAAGGCGGCTCTAAAAGTGTCCGTCTAGTAGAGGGAGAAAAAAGATGAGAGACCGCTAGCTATTTCTCCCTCTCTTGTAACGCATGCGCAGTCGTCTGTCCAATAGTTGGTCCAAGCATCACATCGAAATAGGAAGATGCTTACGGATGCCAATGCGCATCGCGCACGCGCGATTAGAGAGAGAAAGCTAGCGGTCTCTCATCTTCTTTCTCTTTCTATTAGAGGGACATTTCCACTTGTAGTAGTCTATATCTCCCCTACTTTATTCTTATACCTATATGGTACTAACACACTATTATAAGGTATGTAATTTATTGCAAGTTTTTTTACAAGTTATGATATGACATTTTGCTTATTCACGCGTTAATCGTTTTTTTGGTCCGGCTTTACCTTTCTTTTTTTTACCCCACGCCACTGGTGTCTTGTATGCATTTTCATCTGTTACCTCGGAGTTCCATAGTATGGCCATTGCGATGCTTATTTTGG